AAGTGAAAACATCTGAAATGATGGTAAGGATTTTTTTTTTTTTAAACCTGAACTATTGAACAACTACTAAATTCTTCTGATTTAAATATGTTTATTTTTCAAGTGTAACCTATGAGTAACTAAATCACAGCAAAGGCTGGTCAATTAGATCCATCTCAATTAAGTATAGGAAACACTTTTTTGCTGATGTTTTAAAGATGACCAAACCACTGAAATGACAGTGTCATTCACACAAACACTTGAAATTACAGTTTCTAGAAAGTGTTAAACCAGATTTTACCTGAATTAGCGTCTTCAGTCCTATTTATTCAGCCTATTAGTTCAATAAAGCTGACACACCAATTATGAAGTAAATCTTAAAAAAGACTGCCTCAAGCTTTTCTGGCCTTTAAAAATCAGTAGATATCACTTACAGACCTTATTATTAGTCCCAGATTACAAACTAAGGTTATCAGAAGTTGAAAATAAACTATAACCTTATTTTATAAAATCAGTTCTGAATACAAAGCTTCTGCACTTAGGCATGTATTTTACACATTTGAAGGCAGTTTCAGATATTGTTTTAAGTGTTCTTTGATCTTTTCCCTTTCACTAGCCAGTAATTTGCGTCCAGTTTCTCTTAAAGTCAAAAGCTCATTCAGTTGCCTATGGAAATAAACAGCGACTATAACACGCTGTCTCCCTTAAGTTACACACATTTGAAAATAAAGGTGTTCATAGTGTGGTTCCTTATTAGGAAGAGGGACACCAACTCGTAATCAATTATAGTCCCACACTGGCATATTTTAATGGTTATCAAATAAACACATTTACTTAGAGGGAAGAGTTAAAATTCACAAATGGGAAAAAAATATGATTCAAATCACTAGTATAGCGTGATGTGCAGCAGTGTATTACCACAGTTTCCAAAATGCTTAAAGCTGCTGAACGGGATCAGCCACACAACAGTCAATATGCGCATCACCCTGTTCACACTAATGACTCACACTCACAGCATCAAGCAGCGTTCCCTATATTGAATTACTGCCCAGAGAAGTCACACTGGTAAATGCAGAGAAACTACAGTATCACAAGGGAGGAATCACTGAAAGTACTTACTTTAATCCCACTTTTTTTTTTCCCCTATATATATACATGCTTGTGTGTTCGGGTTTTTACAGGTTTCAGGAAACATTTCACAGTGTGAAACAAAAATTTGTAAGCATAGGCTTAAGTGGCAGAATATCAAACCATAGATAACTGCTCAAAATGAGAAGCGGTTCATCCTTAAACTGCAACACTGAACATATGAAACAATTAATGTGCAATTTGGGCCAAGAGAACATTACCAACATTATCAGCAATGACAAACAAACAGTCCATCCAACGCAATACCTATGCTTAGACAAACCATACTGCTTGTCTAACCCAGATGCACATAATCTTGGATAGAGCTACAGGCAGTACAATTACCAGTGCCGTAAGGTGCACAGGATACCATGCTGGACTACACTAACAGCCTTAAACTAAGAATATGCTGTAAGAACGTCCAATAGCATTTTCTACATTGGCCGACTGTAAAACAGCCTATGACTATCAGATGAAGCAAAGAACAACTCCTCCAGAAGAAATGTAGGCAACGAGAATACACTTAAAATTTTACATGCTCTTAAGATGAACAACCTGCAGTTACTGACCTAGTTTGCATCTAGTGTCTGCAATAACAGAAGTTGACAAATAAACTCCTTTCCCTTCTGTAGGGTCAAAGCTTAGAACAGGTTGACTTTTACTCCAAGAATACTAAGGCAGCTCATTAATTTTCATTTTTATTCAGAAATGAACTGCACAATCATCTTTCAAGGTAGCGACCCAAATATCCATGAACTCTCAATTTGACTTCTGCTAACCAAAGAACATGTTTTATCCTGTCCAAAACCAGTGTAATATAACTGAAAGGATCAAGAACAAAGTCACTAGGGTGCTTTGAAGAGATAATAAGAAACAAGTTCATCAGCATTTTAAGCAATAAAGCCCTTCCTACCCAAATGTGAAAGCAAGCAGCGGATAAGGCAACACCAGGAACACTGCTTACTTGTTGTTACGCTTGCCTAAAAATAAATGCTGCTTTAAGACTGCTCCAAGTTGTTTTAAATCTGCTCTGTTCAGTGACCTCAAGAATCAAACCCTGAAAGACCGATCCTCCTGCAAGAGATTCTTACCTGCTCAAGGAGTGATCAATACCTTTACCATTCACAGTGTTTCCATTGATCTACCTGTAGAGGAAGCTCCCCTAACAAACTGCAAATCTTTCCTCCCTTCCTCAAGGAAAAATCTGTCTCAAATATGGATTCAAAGGTACATAGGGTTGTCTTAAATCCTTTTTCTATGAAAGAGGGAATCTATACTTAAATGGGTCATCAAGTACCAGTCTGATGAAAGGCCCTGCTGATAGTCTCTAAAGTTCACCAGAGCATTTAAATTAGAGATCTAAACACAGTTTATGCTTTCTTCAGCTGAAAGTGCCAGAAATCTGTAACAGAAATATACAAGTAAAGAACGACAACACAAAGTATTTTCTTGACTTTTTGGTTTTTAAAATATGCTGGCTGAATTTAACTTCCCAACAAATTGGGCTTCCACCCAGTCTTGTAGTAGATGGCAGACTTTAGATCAGCTTGAACTGTCTTAGAAAAACTACAGCTTAATAGTGTTCAATCTCTCCCATCCTTCACCCCCACTACTATTTCTACCAATGCTCATCTGATCACAAGAGGAGAGCGCTAAGCCAGAAGAAAACTAAGTCCCCAAACCAGAGTGCAACAAAATCAGATAAGCAACAGTGCAAGAAAAGGGACAAGGAGGGCAAGAACAGGAGAGCAGCAGCAGCATTAGCTTAGACTGGCTTAAAACTGTCATGGAACAACACCGTGAGTATAAGCTGCCTTAAGAAGTGGTTAAACATTGGAACAGGCTGCCCAGGGAAGTGGTTGAGTCACCGTCCCTGGAAGTATTTAAAAGACGTGTAGATGCGGCACTTAGGGACATGGTTTAGTGGACATGGTGGTGTTGGGTTGACGGTTGGACTCGATCTTGGAGGTCTTTTCCAACCTTAATGATTCTATGATTCTAAGAAGAGAAGACTCTTCTAGGGTATTTTTTTTGTCCTCAAAGTATATCTACAAGTGACCGGGATGCAAAAAAACCTCAATAGGTTCAAGAATGTACACATTCTAGATAAATGTTCACAATTTACCTGAAAACTTTTCCATCGTGTTTCTTGTCCCACTACAGTAAATTTAACACTGTACTTTAACATTATTTGGATTTCTCAAAAAGACTCCAAACTTTAAACAGATCCTGTCATTTTAATTAAATCCAAGAATTTTATCAGTATGTCAAAGTAAACTTTAAAAAGAGAAGAATGGTGCATACACAGGCAGCCATCTATTTTATCATTCTCTTCCTGTTGCAATCTTTCTTTAATGTTTTAATAAACATTACTTGTACTTTAGGTCCAAAATTCTAACATTGCCATTAAAGATTGTGATATATAAGCTGTGCCTATATGCATTAATCTAAACCTCAGGGTAACTTTAGGATGTACATTAAAGATGAGTGTATGTTGCAGCATGTATGCTGCAACGTAACTTTTCCACAAAATGCTATTTCACACAAAGACAATTCTAAGCCTGAGCCAAGTTTCATAATAATCTACTCTTCTGATTGAGTACAAGCCATCTGTTTCAAAGCTATAGAACTTAAGCTGCATCACAAGGAACTTTGACATTTCATAAGTTTGAATTAAAAAGAAACATGACATTTTGCGTTGTTAAAAAAAGGGGGGGGAGGGGGAGATGCATTTTAACACCACTGCAACCCTGCTGAGAGTAATGAAAAAGTAGTGACAATTATATTACTACACTGCTAATATTAAACCTTGGCTTGAAACTCGCTATTCCTACGCTAGTTTCTCCATGCAAGGTTTTGGTTACCATCACTTAAAATATTTCAGAAGCTGAAGCAAGCACTGCTTCTAAGTGCATAAGCAGATGTACACACAGGCTTTAATTTTCTGCTTTACTAGTCTGATAGGGCAAACTGTAAAGAATAACAGAGTGAAACAAACTCAGCTAGTCACAATGTGAAACTTCTCTTCAAAGCTGCCCCAAGCTCTTGTGTAGCAAGTTTACTTCAATCCATGCCTCATGGAATGTAAGTAGCATAGATGGAATATTAAAAAAAAAAACCAACTGACCTCACAAACAAGAAGCATTCTCAGGAACACTAGAAGCTTCTTAACAGAGAGGCCCTCCTTAAAGGGCACAAGAAGTCAGAAGGGCCAAGACCAAAAAGTCAGCCATAATAAAAGTAGCACCTCTTCAAAGGGTGCTCTGGAAAAGCCACACCACATGTAAAGTTAAATAAAGCGAGGAAGAGAGGGCACTGAAGCAACAGAAGTCTCTGAAATGCAAGTAACTGCATCCTGACCCCATAAAACATTTACAGTTCCTGTAAAGCATGTAAAACCATTAACACAGTATTCTGAATGTTAGTGAAGAGGTGAGTTCCATATTTGATAACCAAGACCACCTATTTACCTTTTTATGTTTTTATCTCTGCTTGAAAACTACTCCAATACTACAGTTCTTCCCCTACACATCATCTACCTTCTCACAGTCAAATATCAATGTGGCAACTACCAATAAATTATAATCTTTTAAAATCTATTTAGCATTCAAGAATTATCACCAAAGAACAAGCATGTCATTCATATACTTTCAACAAGGACTGCATGTGCTATTTGTCACCTGAAAACCCAAATGTTAATCCACAATGTCAACAAAAGATAAGTTCTGTAAGAAACTACAATTAAGGCAAGTAGCCTGCAAGTACAAGGGTTCCTTTGTAGACATCAATTTCACAATTATTCTGCGTAGCAGTGGTCCTTTAAGTTTTTCAAAAGTGCTTTATGTTGTTCAGTCATTAAACAATTCTTCACACCATAGAAAAAGAATACCTACCATTTGACAGCTAAGTTTTGCACCTCACCATTTTTATCTTCCAGTAATTTCAAAATCATCTTCACCACTTTTCTTTCACTGTCATCATCCAGCTTGATAGAATCTTTCTGTAGTTCTGTCATCAAGTCATTAGTAGCCATAAACCTGACAAAAGATAGTCAGATAATTATTGCTAAAAGGATACGGGTTATTCACAGTGCTCAGGATACAAGATTCTCAGTTTCCACCATTTGTTATCAAATAAATCACATTTAACGTTGGATTACTGTTACCTGTTTTGTGATGCAAGTAGCATTTATTTTAGTTATAGAATAAAAAGGAGAAAAATTGTATTTAAAACTGACAATAACTTTTAGTTAGGTCCTCCTCCTTCCCTGATGAGAACAGCTACATATTTTACTTCCATTGTTTACATTATATTCCAAATGATCTCCACAAAGAAAAACTGACACTTCCCTGGATTTTAAGTAGTTCTTCCATTAGCTATGCTGTTGAAAACAGGCATTTCTCTTTAAAGTTTGTAAAAAAAAAAAAATTAATCTCTGCTCTGAGTTTATTTTAAAACAACTTTTAAGCAAGAAGAAAAATACAGAGTTTTTCAAATATTCTCCCTTAAAATTCACAAACATTAATGAAGGGAGAAATAAAGTGAAGCAACGTTTTATGTGGTTTTTGTTTTCTTGCCCTGTACAGACTGGTTTGTTTATAGTCCAGACAACGGCCGATCATGTTTATCCAGCCCTCAATCCAGGGTGCCACATTAAAGACCAAGATTAATTCTTGAGAGATCAAGCAAATAAAATCATCTTTCATATCAATTAATTTACTATTCAATAACACTGTCATATCCACCAATACAAGAACATACTGAGAAATTACTTTCCAAAAATATTGCTTTTATGCCTTTTGTTTCTTTTCCTTCTGAAGTCTGTTTTCCAACCTGTTCTTCTTTTGTAAGCGTCCTCTCTTCTCAGAAGAAGTAATACAGATGTATTACTCAATTACAAATCCCATGGGCTTCAGTACCAATCCCAACCCCCATTCAAAGCCCCAGACGAAAAATGGTTTGTAATTAAACAGTTAAGGTTGAGATTTGGACTTCAGGCACATCAGCCTCAAGCAGACATCACTTGAGCTCAGGTCATACTTGGAAGGTTATCTCTTCTGCCTGACATGCTAGATATGTTTTTATTGAAAATGAAAGCCAAGACTGCATAATCTTAATATGCATCACAAGTGCCAGATGCCTGCCCTCACATAATGGACCTCAGCTTGTCCTGTCTTTTAATACAGTAATGCCAGTCTCAAGGTGTTTCTAAGATAAGACCTCACTCATTTTTCATTCACTCCAACAGTCCCACTGAAGCAAGCCCGTAATCTGACAGGAACCAGATGTGCACATAAACAGATGATGAGGGCGAATGGCATCAGCTTTTAAGCACAGCAAGGAAAAAAGCTACTTGGTAAGTAAAGGTAATGGACAGATAGGATGGGAATAAGGATATACATGAAGTCACACAGTACTAGAACATTCAAAAACTGTCTCCACGTTACTGCTATATTTACCTCCTTTTCTTAAACCTTCATAATAGCCTCCTCGCACTTCCTTTGTCAATAGCTCCCATTTCCCAGCCCTATGAGTTTACATGCAATCATCACCTACTTGTGACAAGTTCCTAAACTAAGCAGAGCCTGCGCATCCTCCGTGCATCAGCAGCTTCTGCACTCAACTACAAATGAGGAGAGTCCTCCTGGCAGACTCATCCGCTAAAAAAAAGCCAAAAAACAAACAACAACCCAAATCCCACAATGGTGTGGGGAGGCCTAGCAACTTTAGTTTAAAGTAGCTGGTATTTAGAAACATGGTTTTGAGCAGTTTAGATGTGGCCTTTAGTCACAACTGCTTCCTCCTCAGGTGCCTCAAACTCTACCTGGTGCAAAGCACCAGCATGTCAGCAGGTCCTCATACCTTGTACTCAGAGTAGTCATTCTCCTCCTCCAGTGAGGACACTACTTCTCCCACAGCCACACAGTAAACTGCCACCTTATGTTACTGCCCATTTTAGAATTTATGCCCGAGTTTCCGGACAATAAATGCCACAAACATTTGCATCGGACAAGTCAGTTTATACAAAAAACAGAGGATTAAATTTTACAGTAAAGTGGTTACTTGAACTGTGGTTTATACTCAACTCCCTGATATCAACAAGTTAACTAGACTGCCCCTCTTCAAATATACATGATCTAAGAATAAATGCACTTACAATTACTAGTACTAAATACTATTTTATCCATTATGCAAATACACAATACACACAAAGTTTCATAAAATGTGTTCTCGTATAACAGCCAGTTCGTAATGAGCATCACGCATTTTTGTGGTTTGTGAAGTCAGATTTTAATCTATGCTAAGAAAAAAATCTTCAATATTCGAGAATTCCAAAGTTGTTCAAAGCTCCTAGAACAGGTAATTTCTAAAGCGTGTTCTCCTAAAGCAACTACAAAACAAGTTTTAACTACGTGTAGCTGGTTAAAAAAGCGCTTGCTACAACCACATTTGACAGGTGTGACCTATCCCTTTTACGCAGAAAGTTTTAAACTCATCAAAATCAGTACTTAGTCACAAATCCATTAGAATTTTTTGTAAGTCATCCTCCCCATAAGCACAAACTGCAAAGCTCACTTAATCACAGAAACAAATTAGCATGACAAAAGTAAAAACATCTTCAGTGTTTAGAGGAAGAAGTGTTTGAATCTATTTTTAGTACAATTTAAATAAATCAGGCAATTCTGGACTGTCTCTTTTTAGACTAATCACTTTTTTTTCTACTTCCAAAATTTCTAGCCTAAATTCTCCAGGTAATAGCATGCTACTAAAATCTGAAAGAAATCAACATGAAAAAAAACCCATAAATTTAACACATCTGTGTCCAGTGCTACAACAGTTTGTCAAAAGCAAACAAGATTATTCAAAATCCAACTCTATGGTTATTTAATCATCACCTCTGTTTTCCTTTAGATTTTAATATATTAACAAGAGACTTGTTTGGATGTCAATGTTATGTTTATGTTAACTATAAACTAAGCACTGTAATGCTGCAGCAAAGCAACAAAACCCAAGCGTATTTTATGCCTCTTCCCTGTCTGTATTCATGTATTTGATAAATAAAGGCTTCAAATGTGAATTTCTGGTTGCACACAATACAAAGAAACATAATTGTTTTTAAGCTAATGCTTTGCTAGAACTACTGTGTGAATGTATTATCTCTGCTGTTTTTTAATAGCTTCCTTATACCATTTCATTTTCTGATACTCAAATGTTTGCATTTTATCTGTTATTAATTTATTACAAAGCAAGCAAATGATCCAGTAAAAAGTAGTGCTCTTGTGACAGATCCTAAGCTCAAAATTACATATACCAGTCCTGTCCCCATAAGACTTAACTGGAGTTCTCTCTCTGGATGCACAGACTTTTAGAGGCCGTACCAAATTATGCGAGGAGCACAAAACCCCTCTGTCTACAAGATGCAGCATCCAGGAAGCATGTGAGCTCAGGATGTTCAAGCCCGCCGTGCTGGGTGGCTCTCCCTGCTCCTAGTCGCAGGATCACTGGATCCGTATTTTTTGAGGTTGGGAAGGAACCCGGGAAGGTCATCTCGCCCCCCCCCCCTGCTCAAAGCAGGGTCAGCTACAGCAGATTGCTCAGGGCTTCGTCCGTTCGGCTTCTGAGCATCTGCGAGGATGGAAATTGAACCGCTGACCTCCTCCCTCGCCTAGCCCCACACAGGT